TCCAGCGGTGTGAGACAAGTATACTCGCTGTCACCTTTTTTTTACTTTCCATTGACGAAGTCATGGAGACCTGCAAGGCATCGAGATGCTCCAAAGTGACCGACTTCTTGACTTGGATTACGCTGACGACATTGCCATTATCTGTGATATCGCACTATGCAGCCGTCCGTTCAACCCTCATGTGCGGTTGCGATACCTGGTCCACCAAGGGACTAGTTATCTTCGATCAACGCTGCCTTCGTAGCTTGGTTCATATCTGGTGGGAACACCGCGTGAGCATTCAGCATATTCGGCGGTGTATTTGGTGCAGGATGAGCGAGTGAACCGCTCAGCAACGTTATTTCACACATCAGGCTCCGGTGGTTGTGTCACGTGTTGCGCATGCCAGCACACCGACTCCCGCGACGTGCGTCATTTACGCGCCAGGCGTCTGGTTGGATGGAGAAGGGGCGGCCAAGCGATGACTTGGTCAAGAGGAATGAAGTCCCTCACTTCGAACTTACCAGTCTGTGTCCGAAAGACGGCTGGTTGGATACACTAGTTGGCATGGGAAGGAGCCGACGTCAATTGCGTTTGTACTGTGAGTTTCTTTGTCCCTCCTCATCCCGCTTTTCTTCCCTCTCCAACCACGATCTTGAAGCATAATATGTTACTGAGTAATGTGCAACCTACTTTTTACACTCTGTAATTTTCAGTATATTGTTTTTTCTTATATCCTTATGTATAACGTCACAATATTTGTGGTAATGATGACGATGTTGCATTTTTGTTTCATGCCTACCAATCACTTTCGAGCACTGTGAAAGCCGTTCCCTCTTATTCGCAGTGATCATCGTCGGTGAGGCTTTACCCTGGGTGCAGATTACTAACGAATTAGGTGGCATGTCACGTGGCGGCATTTTTTCATCACTGTTAAACATGATGGCCAGTTACTGGTGCTTGATCTGATCGCCATACGCTGCACTGTCGACATTTTCTTGGGCACACGATCCTCGGCTACTATATGACAACAGTGTCCGTATTCCTTAGTACTGATCAAATTTCGTTTTCAATCACAGTTTAAACCGTTCGCATTTTCAGTGATGCTCAATACCATGGTGTTTACCGTGTTTAGATCACAGCAAACGTGCAAAACCCGTTTTTCTCATCTGGGTCCCAGTAAACTGCCACTGGCATGCACTTCGGTCCCAAATCTCTAGCGGAGTTAACGAGTACCAGCTGAATGCAGCGTGCCTTTATGCAGTGTTCGTCTAATCCCGGAGATTGTCAAAGCTGTATTGTATCGTCAGATCTCCCCTTTATTTTATGACCAAAAGTATGGTTATCGTAAGGATTGTGGACGACCTCAGCACCCAATGTCACTCTGTTGTCAGAATCCAAACGTCATTTCGGAGGCCGTTTCCTGACCGATGTGTGTCGTCCTGACAATAGAGACCGTTTTCTTCTACAAGCGCTGCTCACAGCATCCATATCAACGGTGCCGCTTTCCAATCCAACTGTTCATACCGAATTGCATAGCGGCTATCGAACAGTAAACTGCCATAGACTTCTGTTATTCCTATCACCTTTTACTCTAGATAACGCACATCAATACGGGTTTGCCGTTCGAGCTGGGGCACCTATTTAGATCCTAATCACACCGTCGTGTGTGCCGGCTCATCACTCACTCTTTCAGCCTCGGTGAACTGCTCAACTTCGAATGTTATTACTGGTCAGCGATATTCAGATTCCTCGAAACAGAAGTATCTTTCCGAATTACCGCATGTTTTATCATTGGCGAACCGAATACCGACCTGCGTCGCCTTTAATGCATTATGCAGAAACCACCAGAGGTCGCTTGTCTTTCTAGCTGGAAGCGTCGGACTATTAGATGGACATTTGGAGATCCATTAACCCAATGGAAGCAGGATATGTGGCTCCACTGGGACGTCCTTTTCAAGCTTACGACCAACATCGAACTTGTCCAACTACTTACGAACGTACCAATTAGAGGTGAGCCAGATTGAATATAATCGTGGAAATGGGCCCTCCAGACTCGGGACTATAACGCCTTCTTCTGTGCACATCAAACTTCAAGTTCCATCAAGAACGGAAAATGGACGGTATCGCAATGGTTAGTCCGTTTGGATCAGATATGACAAATAGTTTCGGAGCCCGTCTCGGAAGTGAAGTCAGGGATGAGATCGATCGGTACGTAGATGATATTCTGTTCATTTTTTCTTGAAAGATCAGTGGATTCACTTGACTAACAAGTTACATGAAATGAGGCTGAACATCAGAGTGGCAACGAAGCGCGAGCAGCATTTTATCCTGCCATTCCGTTACCTCTTGTTAGCGAGCAGGAATAATGGTACAGTACGCTGGTTAACTCACCGCAAACCGACATGGAAGGGGCATAACTTGAACTCCAGCAGTTTTACTTATGAGCCGCAGAAGACAGGCTTAGTGCATACTCCGTTTAGCAGGGCCAACATCTATTCTTCAGCACATTAGAACAGGCAATGCGGTGCTGAGGCTTTAAGTCGGCCGTTACATTTTCATTGAAACATCATTTCTACCTTATCTGCCCCGGATTCAACAGTTTTCAACAAATAGTAATGCTATTTTCTCCAGTTGTACTATTTTAACTTCCCTAGCGCTGTACTGCGTTGGTTTTTCTTGAAAAAGAACTGAGACAGTGCGCATTTTCGTAACTTGAAAAATCCTCATCCCCATTGACAAACTGGGCTCCAACACTGTACCTACAACAGGAAGCAAATACCAATGCTTCACTTTATCAACGGAAATTATTGCCTGCATATCCCGGACCGTATTCGGGTGAGACCTATGCACTCCATGCCATTTTTCCTTCTATACAACTCGTTTTTTTAACGTTGCTATTTTAGTCCATCCGCGGCAGTTATTGTAAAATGCTGAAAATGTACCCTCTCGGGTACATAACGCCTGTATTGATTTGACTTGATAACCGGCACTCTCGTAGATAATGCGTAACGTCCTTAGCGGGTATCGGGTTTGGAACAGGGGCCAAAGTGTACGGTTTGTTACCTTGACTGTTTCAGCCGCACCATGTTCTGTGCAGCGAAACTTCTTTGGATGCAAATCATGTGACTAGCTTGTGCTAACCTTTTTTGCTGAAATTTTTTTCCTTGGGACTAATTGTTTATGTGTTCCTCATTCATTATTGGCTGCTCATTGCTTCTCAGCTATCGAGTTGTTCGCCTAGTTTGATATCTTGATTTGTGCCATGTGGTCAGTAGTTTGGCGGCAAATGTTGGGGCTACTTTTCCAACACTCATTTTCCCAATTCACTCACACTGTTGACATGATCTTGTCAACTCATGCGATACATCCTCATACGCGCGCAATTCTTTCACGCCTTTTAACCGATTTACTTCTTCTTTTGGTTTGTCAACCGATTTGGTGACTTCCAAGATAGCAAGCGTGTGGAGACAATTATGCCAACGCGTGCGTACCACATCCGTTTACGTCCAATGACGCACGTAGGTCTTAGTCACTTATTAACGGTGACCTCATCGTGACTGACTATCATGTCGTCTGTTCCGCCAGGAGCGCGTTACTCCGAATTGAATTCAGAAGCGCTATATGTTTCGTGATTTAGTGGAACCCTTTGTTTATTCTAGATTTCATCAAATGGAGCAGCCAGTGAAGTTCTGGGCACGTTTTACTTCCCCGCCGGACGGGCTAGTCCTCAAACGTTTGATAGATTGTTTCTTTAAAGTCGTGATTCTGGGACCAGTCCTGTTTTATACACTTTCGTAATAGGGCTGGCTGTAGAGAACGAGCATCACTACGTCGAAGCTAGTAACCAGTCATGGCAATCCTCTGTCATCACCTATGACCCGATGTTATGCGTCGTTGACTTCCGAACTCTGGGTTCGACTCTCAGAGTAATCGAAGATTGTGCACCACCGTCGAATTTTCAAGGCCTTGTGTCACTGCATTCGGAGCACAGAGCATTCTACTGGAGAGGGTGGGCAGCTGATAACACAGAACAAATTTTCGATTGTCCTCTGTTTTTCGAATCGTCTGCGTACATGAATATCGTAACCATTCTGTCAGTTGATTAGATAGTCTTGGGACGTCATATTCTTTGCCTAGGTGAACCACTATCTTTAGGCGTGTGGCATCAACCATTTGATGCGAAACTTCAGTTTCACTAGCGTCACTTCTCGAAGGCTTCAGAATTTGGCAATGAGCAAAATCTTCGTAATTTGACCGGTTGAGGAACTGTACCAAAGTGGTCAACACACAGAAGTCTGGATAAAATAAAGTTTCCATGGTGAACATTCAAGCAATGAAAATACACCGGTCAACGTAGAGAGTGGGTCAACCTCGGAAGGTATGCTGTATATCCAATTTACTCGTATTATCGGGCTACAATGGAACGACCAAAAACCATTCGAAATGTTAACACAGGTCAACCTGTGTCTGTGCCTTTACGATACCGTAAAATGACTATTAGGATGACCACCTCTTAAGCAATCGATTGATGAGTCTTCTGCTATAGGGTTCATTTTCTCCATAGTTGTTCCCCAGTATGTTACCCGATTTTTCATGTGTATAGCTGCCGACATATCCGTTGTGCTCTGTGGTCAACGAACACGGGATCCCAACGAACTGCTTGGAAGCGTATAAATTACACATGACATTTTTGCTTGTCTACGTATATTTAGCCACACTCAAACTCCCACTCTTTCGAATATGGGCGGAACTCTAGAGTGGATTCGTCTCCATTACGCACGTCTTTATTCGTTGTGTAATGAATTCTATCCAACCCATCATTTGTCGCGCCTCACCTGTTGTATTTAATCGGTGCAATATTGCTCACTCGACCGCTCGGACTGTCTTGGCTTTGGTCAACGCCCATTCTGTACGGTTCCTGTGGCAACCGACGCCTAGATGATGTTCACCCACTTTAATCCCATAATTTTATTCCCACGTCTTTGATCGGACGTGTTTTTTTCTGTTTTTTTCCCCAGGCCGGTAAGGTACACTTCAATTATATCTACGGTTTGGGGGTATTCGGCTGTTTGGGCATCTACCTTCTCCTCACCATGATGACACCACAGGGCGTTACGGCCACACGAGTCACGTCCACGCTGGGCTACTGCCTCCTCCCAATGTGCCTTTTGTCTAGTCTCGGGATTCTTTTTTCTTTGAAGTGAGTTTGTTCGACTATCTCTATCGCATTCTCCATGACATCCCGCGATACTCTTCGGGGTTCACATGCTGGTCCAAATACACATCTGCCTGCCCATCAATGTTACTTCGATGACTTAGTTGATCCTGAGCAGTCTGGTCGCCTGTTGGCCGTAGTCTTGAGAACCATTCATATGCCCATCTGATAGTTTTGAACATCGTGACTTTACTCTGCGGACTGCACTGTACACCGAGCTAAGCCATTTGTCCGGACTGTTATGCCATCGGATGTCACTAATTTTAACTAATCTGCCAATTCGGCATAAAACCAAATGGCCGTCAGCCTCAAAATTGCTGCTTGTAACCGAGTTTACAACCTTGTTCGCACTCAAATCTGTTTAGGCTGTACATGTCTATTCCCTTGCGATGTCGTTCAGCAATTTGTTAAATGTAACCATCACACCCCCGCTCCTTCGACTTTTTTCGCGCTCCACTTTGCTCTTTTGATTAAAATGCTCCCTCAGAAACCCAGTTTCCCACTGTTTGCTTTAGATTATCGTTGATGGAATTTGTGAACTTCCAAATGTGCATTTATCGATTCCTGTGTAGCGGATCGTAAATAAGTGTTATTCATTCCCTACTTCGTCAGGGCACTTCGACTTTTCACTAGGCCTACCACTATAAACTGGTTTGAAGTTATAAACTGTTTCCATTTTTCCTCGATCCTCTGTTTTTTAGATTTTGTTGTGACCAGTTAACCTCCCTTTATTTTTATGGTCGATATCCGACCGACTGTTAGGAGTTATTTCATCTGTGGTTCAGTAAAATATGTTGATGTTAGACATCACCGTGCTCACACCGGCAGTGTTCTCTCATCGCTTAGGACTGGCATACTCTACTCTTTTTCTTGTGAACTCCCAACCCAATCATTGTTCCTGCTACTGACTCACTTATTTTACTACTTTCCATTCCAAACCGTTCCCTCTCTCTCTCTCTCACTCCCCGGTTGTACGACCGATTGACGGGAGACTAATTGGTTAAGATGGTGTTGTCTTGATCTGCTAAGGAGCTCACACCTATCCACTTTTTCTCGCTGTCTCTTCATCGAATCTGCCCGTTCACCCGTTCAGCGCTGTAGGTTTTTATCATGTTTAGCCAAAATAGCACTCATTTCTCACATGGATAATCACATAGATTGGATTAGCAAGGAATTTATTCGATTACCTCCGAGGCGATTTGTCATCATTATTCTTTCCTTTCCCTCCGGTGTACCAGTCGTTTTGAGTTGGTCGTTACAACAACAGACAAAATCACACTGGTAGGAAATACCACAGTTTCCATCCTACGAATTTCGGATAGGAAATGGTTATTTTCGCACTTTTAACTTAGACGAGATGATTTCCGATCGAGACTCATTGCCACCAAACTTGGCCTAGTCGTGACACGCCTAGTTTTGTGTCTGTGTGATCTTTTGAGATCTACTCTATACGGTTTTATCCTTACTCTCAGGGCAATTTACCAAATCACTTGTCGGTAAGATGTACATAACAAATTGACCATCGATCTTCCGAGATAAATTTTGCTTTCTAGTCACATGTTCAAGCTGGGTCGATTTTTGCAGTTTACCGTTTTGCTTGTCAAGCATTCTGTCCTTGTTCTATCTGGATTCGTACCCGTGTGCTGACATGGTGGTGTTGCAAGCATAGGACCGCATACTTTCAGCCTCGTATGCGAAATATTCCTCAAAAGCTAACTGTGCTACATTGGAGCTCATGGGACTTACAGCATAACTGCGAAGCAAGCGCTCAGTGGTATTCCAACACATGACAACCCCATAGGGGTCACTTCGCTCTTACTGCGTCGTTTATCTTTTCTACGCCAGACGTCCCTTATCCCTGGTAAGCGAAAATCTCAAACCCTTTCCTGTTGATATGGACACTTGTCGTTGCAGTTTCATAATCTACTTCTGTGATCATCTCTGTTATCTTGACACACCGCAGTCAGCTCTCGTAAACTTCTTTCTGCACTCCCACTCTTTTGTAGAAATTTACCAGGCATCGTGATTACTGTCGCAGTCGTGTTGTGGTGCGCAGTGTCGTCCAGCAAGCTATTCGTTCGTTCCTTGGATATGCAACACCAGCGATTGTTGATTGCTTACCCCTGTGCCCTGGTTTACAGTGTGTTCGCTCTGTTGGTTGTATTCTGATTTGAACCACTCCTTCACCACGTTTTCCGTCTGCCTCGGTTTCTTGTTATTACTCTCCTGGATGTTTCTGAGGTCATTTATCTTTCCCCTGTCTACATTTGTATTCTCTTCCCAAAATATTGCCACTACAGAGCCCTTGATCACGCCTCTAGCCGAGGACTTGATTGCATTCTTGTATACCTCGGATGTCATCAACAAGTTGCGTGGTTTAGTGGTTTTGTTTCGACTTGACATTTTATTTTGCCTTGTCACCTCAGGTGCATATTTCTCCACCATGTTCCGTTTTAGGTGTTTGCGTTCACGCGTTCGACACATGCTCCGCTTGATGAACTCTCAAGGAAGTGGTAGGTGGAATTCAACGGTATTAGTGGAATTGAACCCTATTAATGGCTGACTGTTCAAATTTAACAAGGCGTTACTGTGTGGGAGAAAGCCACCCTCTCTCCTGAACAGCAGTAACGGGCATCTCAGTGGAGATTTAGCTACGATATATCACGACGAATAGCTTATTCGAGTCGGTGGTTGCCCTCCTCCCGTAGCTAAACGGTCTTAACCGCTGACTCATAAGAGTCGATGGGTCGGGCTATATTGCAGTTTCGTTTCAATCCGCCTATCGTTCCCCATGGCTCACTTGCATAAGCTGCTGGCTAGTATTGCGGTTATTTGTTTGATCCGCATCAGCGGACTGAGGGAATGCACACTACTGATGAGTCCCAATATGGCGAGACGATCGTCCGGTGCACCTCTGGATTGGTAGCTCAACTTTACGGCTTGGAGTCTAATTGTGATGAACCAAATAAGATAGTTGGGATGCTCACTGCCGACTTTCGTCCAGTGCTTTTCTCGAGGTGTGATGGACATCTTTTCATTACGCGTTTACCTTGATGAGATCTAGCAGTGAACTGGGTCACCGTGGCCGCCTTATATCAAGTGACGTTTGTCTGTTCATATTGTTTAATCGACTGTTCAGCACATCTCTTTACGTTGTCTTTAGTGTATCTATGTTTCCAAACGTAAGCAACGCAAGAGCACGTCTGATGGATGATCGGTAGCCAGTCTCATTGGTGCAAATGGATTAGAGCAGTCCCCGGTAAATAACGCTAATCAGAGCTTTCAATTCATTTGAGGTTTTCTGATCGTTTTATCGAAGTTATTCAAATTCCACTTTTGCACTTCAGGATTCTGCTCTTTACTTGTCTCAGCAGTGTTCGAGGCTGACAGGTAACATTCAAAATAGCGTGAATATCTTCTCAGTGGTTTCAGTGAGTAGAGAGGTGTTTTCCTGTTTAAGGATGTGATATTTGAATAAGCTATCTTAGTGGTCAAGACGCTTCGCTGGAAGACCGCACTATACGCCTGTTTAGTACCGGGATCACTGTTGTCCAAATACTTCCTCTGTGTTCAGTTTGAAAAGTATGCCAACAGGGTTTGGTCATGGATATTAAAAGTGCGTTTCATCAGCAAGCTTTAGTTTGCTGCGACGGACCTAGCTCCATAAATATATAAATGGCATACTTGTATCCCTCGATGGGTTTACTTGTCATCGGGTGGACCAACCTTGCGCATGCCGAATCTTTGGTGGTAGAGTCATCATTTACACAAATTCTTCCCCAGTGCAGGTTAATGAAACCCATCGTTTGCTTCTCTTCGTGACACATTGCATTCCAGGTCTTGAGATGCAAAACAATATTTGTGTGCGTACCGCTCAATCCTATTGTCTAACATCTACATACCCTCAACATGTGCCCAACGCGCAGCAGAGACGTTTAACGATTAAGTTACACCGGTTGTCAGGAGACGCATCCATTGTTCCCCAGGTAATTTTGCTAGCGATTTTAACCGATTTAACTCCACTCTCAAACTGCGAAACATTGTTGACTGTCCCACCAGATTCAGTGCAGCCAACGCAAAGCTCTCCTCTGTGTGTAATCGCACGTTTTTTGGCAAACCTGATCACGAAACAGTCGGACTGTCTCCTGTTATCTATTCTAAGATGATCGCAGATTCAAGTAGAGGCATTGTTCCGCTTGAAATATCGACCAACAACGATAAACACTCATCTACCGTCTTCATTTTATTTTTTGACATCGGTGTGTTCTCGTATGATGATCAAATGACAAGCTACCTGTATTTCTGTTTTGACGTTTGCTGTCTGTGCGAAACTCTTTTCATCCGTGCGGACATATTCTCTTTATCACACCTAAAGTGACTACGTATCTTGAAGGATAGAGCTTTCAAACAAAAGCCGATGTCTCCGTGAGGTTTCCCGCTATTCGTATTAAACAGGAGTTACGCCGTACTTTGGAATAGTAGCTGTCGTGAGCTCTGAAAGATGTTGCGACACCATGTATCGACCTCCGACGAGAGTGTGGGGAAACTGGACCTTTGCTCTTCTAACTGCTACGATACCACAATCCTAGACCGTCGTTTACTAAACTTAAATAACCTGCAGACTCACTGCCCCAAGCAACAGCGAAACTGCAGAAATTACTAAAGCAGTTACATGTGGTCCGGATAAATTGTCTCCAATTATCCTGACTTCTCTGCTAGAAATGGTCCAAGTATTACACAAAATCTAAAATGAATCTACCAACTACAAATCTTACCCAAATCCGTCTCCTCACTAGTAATCAACAATTAAGTCCTGCCAGTCAATTCACGGCATTGGCAAGGGAAGTCCTGATCTGGACGACCAACCACTCCTCTGAAATTGTAGTAACCTGCATATCAGTGGAGGATGGGTCGGACTATATCCCAATTAGATTCCAACCTGTGACGGGCGGATGTCCTCGTGGCTCGCTGACATATGCTGCTGGCTAGTGATGCAAGCCACTAGCGGTCGTGGGTTCGATCCTCAGCAGGAGACCGATGTGATGCGCACCACTGAGAGTCCCATTAGAGCGAAACGATCTGGCGCTTTTCCAGATTGTTAGCTTACCTATGCGGCTTGTAACCAAATAAGAACCAAGTATATGCTGACCAATTGCTTGAAGTTCATTCTTGAGAAGACACTGACAAAAGAGCAGCTGAGCGATCTTAAATTTGCTTCTCAACCTTTTTCGGGGCTTGGCAATCAAACGGATTACTATGGGCTCCGATTTTCAGCATTTTCCCATCAGTTCACTCATACCAGCTGATAGAAACGCTGTTTTCATTATACATGTGTTACATTTCTTTGTGATTAAAAGCCGCTTACTTGGACGCAATACCCTAGCAAAGGGCTTGTTGTTCAGGTGGATTTCTTCGAAGCAGTATGTTAATTTAACGTCTGGGTTGGGGTTCTAGAGCGGTCACTAATCATCCGATATTCAGATTCATGAATTTGGGGTGCGCAAGGAATCTGTTATAACCTCTATCAAACAAGCTAGAAACATTCCCTTGGGCATTAGTTCTTCGATGACATTCTGAACGAACGAGGGACTTACTATTGTGGTCGCTACTTTGAACATGCCCTACAAACTCAGATAGCTCCATGAAAATACGCACGCCGAATCCAGCCTTGTTCACCGTAGGAATTACGTTGGCATCGCAGCGAGATGTCTAAATCTGTCACTCCGTATTTGACATATCAACACTGGTCTCTAATAACGCAAATATTTTTCTTGGTCAGCCAATCAGTTCCACTTCCATAGCTCAAACCACATCTCAATACTCCGAGCTACGTAAGATTGACAGGTCGAACATGTGACTGTTTTAGTCTACATCGGTTTGCGCTTCTAGGCTTGTTGTGAGCTAACCTGTGTACACGGGAATTAATGCCCTCGTGAATGCATTCGTGTGCACTGTGATTGGGAATGCCCATTGTTGTTTATCGCGCGTTAGCGTTATTCCACACTTCAATACTTGCGATAACTAGAAAGGTAGAGTGGATAGAAATGATACCTCATATTTTTATGGCTCGCGGCCACAGAAGCCGAGGGAATCAATGAACTTGAAGAAGAATTCAGTGGGGCACACATTTCATTTAATGCTAATATGATCATCATGAATATATCGGTCTCGCTTTGTTCGACTCAACAGTAAGAGTTCAATCATCATACCCTTGAGTTGCGTTCGTAAAGAACCCTTAATCAAACCATCATCCACGAGACCTGGTCTGTTCTTCGTAGTGTGCAGCATGGACGTACGTACTTTGGTCAGACTAATTATAAGTATGACCTAAATTTTTTAAATTTGAGCTACACTTGTGCATGTCTCGTGTTCGGGTGTTTGCTCTCAAACTTATCAGATACTTCATCAAACGACCCAATAAGCTTTGGATTGCCCGGTTGGTTCTTTCGAGGCCGTGATGATCCCCTATACCTCATCACTTGACGGATTTACACAGACCAAGTCGTGCCTCAGCGCCTTCTCCTGTGCATCACTTACAGATCCACATAAATGCCTGTCCGCCCCGTAAACTGTGAGCAATGAGATTGGGCGGTATGCGAATAGTATTCATAGTTGTTTTTTTGCAGTGCGCCGCGTGAGTATAGTTGAATCAATGTGGGAGTGCCACATGGTCAAAAAACCACTAAGCTAATATGATGTCTGAAGCTTGCACGCTCCAGTCGTAAACGTTGAACACTACTGGGTGGCTGCTACTTTGTCACTCCTTCATTTGTCCCTAGTGGTACCATACGTATCAGAGAAATGACTAATCGAGTCATGAATCTGTCACACAATGTGAGGATCTTGGCATCGGCCCGAATAAGGTATACTGGTTAACGGCAGTTCTACCATAGCATTCACTAACCAATGGGCGGGATTCCCTCTGGAATGCGTGTTCCAACAGGCTATTTCGAGGGGCGATCCCACGAGCACACTAAAACTAGTACAAGAAGCGAAGGTTCATTAATTTGTCTATTAAAATGACGAGCATGTCTGGTGCAAGCATCGTGATTTAATAGATATATTGATCAATGAAGTGAAATAAGCATGAGGCTTTAGCAGCTCGTTACGAGTCTTGAGCATCCAAGCCAATACGCAAACGAAGCTTTGCGGTATAACTATAACTTATAAATGAAATGCCGTGTATACAAGGCCACAGTGAGGGCCGTTCTGCTCTATGGTAGTGAGACTTGGCCCCTTCGGTCTGAAGATCTGAGCCGCCTTCAAGTCTTTGATCATCGTTGTCTGCGAAGCATTGCTGGTGTCGGATGGAGCCAGCGTGTCCGCAACGATGATGTGCGTAGCCGAGTACTAGGTGGTGATAAGCATGCTAGCTCCCTAGAACATCAGACAGCACTGAATAAGTTACGTTGGCTCGGGCACGTGCTACTTATGCCTGGTCACCGCTTACCTAGGAGGGCCTTGTTTAGTCTACCAGGTGTAGGGTGGTACAAGGCTCGAGGTGGACAGAAGTTGACTTGGCAGCGGGAAATGAAGTCACTGACGACCAAACTGGGTGCCAGGAGCAGGAGACTGTCCCAACCGACTGCAGCCGTTCTTTTATTGTTCCCATCTTCAAAGGAGGCTCGCGTTCGGACTGCGGCAGCCATAGAGGAATCAGTCTGATCTCCGCCTCCATAATTCTTCACAGACTGACTGGCGCTCGTGAATGCCAGATTCGTGAGGAGAAAGCCGGGTTTCGTCGGGATTGCGGCTGCATCGACCACATCTTCACCTTGCGCCAGTTGTTGGAGCACCGTCACACATATTGGCGGCCCACCGTTGTCGTGTTTCTCGACCTCAAATGTGCCTTCGATTCGGTTGATCGATGTGTCCTTTGGAATTGTCTACTCAGGAAAGGTGTGCCCGAGAAATATGTAAATATTATCCGAGCATTATACGCGCGTAACACGGGCAGAGTGCGGGCTTACAGCTAGCTGTCCCCACCCTTCAATATCTTCAGCGGTGTGAGACAAGGATGCCCGCTGTCACCTTTACTCTTCAACTTCCCTATTGACGAAGTCATGGAGATTACATTTACAGGACATGACTTGGAAGGTGTGGAGCTACTCCCAGGAGAACGAATTTTTGACTTGGAGTATGCAGTCGACATTGCCCTCATCTGTGACAACTCCCAGACGTGCCAAGGCGCGCTGGACAGATTAGTACTGGCTGTCAGCCGCTTCGGGCTTTGCTTTGCACCATGGAATTGCAAAGCGTTCCTCCAAGATTGGCAGCGATCGCCTCCTGCGCTGACCGTTGGTGGGGATCAGCTAGATGTCGTTCGGAAACTCAACTATCTGGGAAGTTGTATTAGCGCCCTTGAGGTTGAAGACGAGATCACGAACCGTATAGCGAAAGATGGAAGTGCTTTTGCTAACCTTCGCCACTTATGGCGACAGCGCGACATGGCTCTCTCCCCGAAGGGTAGAGTGTACAATGCAGCGGTAGGTTCGACCCTACTGTACGGTCGTGAAACGTGGCCCCTAAGATCGGCGGACATGAAGAAGCTAGTTGCGTTCGTCCATCGGTGCCTTCGCAATTTGGCTCACATCTGGTGGGAACACCGTGTGAGTAACGAGCGTGTTCGACGCCTTGATTATGGCACAGAAAAAGAAACTGAATCGCTCAGCACCGTCATTTCACGCACCAGGCTCCGATGGCTCAGCCGCGTGTTGTGCATGCCAGCCCATGGACTTCCGCAACGTGCGTTGTTTGCTCACCGGGGCTGTGGATGGAAGAAGAGGAGGGGTAGCCAAGCGATGACTTGGTCCCGAGGAATGAAGGCCCTCACTTCGGAGCTGGCCTCGGTTGGAGTGTCACGGCTCCCAGGTTGGGGTCCAAAAGCCGGTGAACACGTTTGGCTGAATACACTTGCTGACATGGCAAGGAGCCGACCTCAGTGGCGTTCGTGCTGTTTCTTTGTCCCCCCCCATCCCTTTTAGCCTCCCCCTCCACCTACTAGCTCATTTCATTGCGTAAAACATTTTCTTTTCTTTTGCCTAGTTGCCGACTGGTAGCTAGCCGGCACGATGCCTATCCGTTGCTGGTAGCTCAGCTGGCATGCAGCTGTTGTATTTATTTTCCTTTATGTATTGGGACACAGTAGCTGAGGTGTTTCCCACCTCTAGCTGATGTGTCTAGGGATGATGATGAAATTGGGTGCCGTTGGTCCGTCTCGCCTTCCGGGCTGGAGTCCACGTGACTCGACTTGTGCTTGGCTCGAGACTTTACAGGATATGGCTCGCAACCGGCACCAGTGGCGCGTCTGTTGACGTCTCCTACTCGGATTGCTGTGTTATCTGCAGGGTAATGGCTGCTTATGACGCGTGGCAGTGAAAGCCTTAAGGAAGCTGTCTCGCCGATACCGCCTTATCTTTGCACGATAGCCAGCTGTTTGTGACGGTATGTTGTGAACACAAGGTGTAGGCTCCTTGACCCTAAATGTTTGCTTAGGGCATTAAGGTTTTCAGGTAAGTCGCCCTTCTCTCCCTCTTCTTATTCTTTATTTCATAAGTCCTCGTGGTTGTATGGCAGCGAAGCATGAGCTCAAATGGCTGGTGTACTGCTGTTAATGAGGAATTTGTAAATATATCTGGATTACTTATAAATTGTCAGTAACACAGTTCTTTCGTAAATTTGAAGATCATTGCCCTTGATGTCTGCCATGCAGCACATTCGCGGTTACTTACCTGTAGACCAGGGGTGTCAAATGTCCGGCCCGCGTGAACATTTCGAATGGCCCGCGGCCTCATCATGAAATATTACTTCAGGCTTGGAATTTTTCGTACATGTGTAATTTTGGTATTATCTTAATGTCAGACTGCATAAGGCTCGACATATTTTTGCTATATGTGGACTGCATGCGAAATGTTCGGGCATCCCTTAACGTCTTCTGTTCCACTCGACAGGGGACCCACATATTTGCATGTGCGCCGTTAAGCTGGTCCACTAACTACCATCTGCTGCTCCGACGAACAAAAGGCCAATATACCATGCGCATAACGCTGATAGCATGGCTTCCTGGTTATTTTTTTAAGTGTGCTTCCTTCTATCATCATGGTGAAGAAATCGGCGGGTACAGTTCCTAGTGTTTTATCTACTGTTCGTCAAAGCAGCCGAGCGTACAGTTTGTTGGAGTAGCCTAACGGCGCAGGTGCCAAGTTGCGGGTCACCTGTGAAATGGAACAAGAACTGTCTGTCATCCTTACCTGTCGTAGTCATGACGGAATCATGAAGACATCCGTCTACAGAATATCAACTTGGTCCGGCTAAGTGCAGTATAAGTGGGCACTTGCGAAAACTGGTTTGTCGTTCTAGGCGGGTTTGCTAGGCCGATTGTCTGGCCTACCAGCTGCGTTCAAGTGCAACTACCCTCATGGCGCATTGTTTCCGTCACAGATTTATACAGAAACAGCCATTGCGAGACCCGAAGGACTTGGTGCATACTGCAGCGAAATTTAATCTGTATCCAATCACCTTTCAAGGGTGACTTTCCTGTGCTGAAGACCAATATCGGTGATCTGTGCTGCGCATAAAAGTTACACTGCGGATCAAGTTCTGATTGTTAACCGAACTCACAACCAGCCGGTGCATCTAATGGAGTCAGCTAAGCCAATCTGGATCAAGTTCCGATGCATACTGCGCAGCCAGTTCATAGACAAAACGCTGAATTCGGGAATACCTGAGCATGTGCCGAGCTGCCCAGCGTGAAAATGCCCAGACGCCCAACCCCAGTCAACTTGCGTTCTGGCGTAGGCGGTCGGCTTCATCGGTAGGCAAATGCCTGGTGTCGGGTCGCCGGATGGAGATGGGCTCAGCGCTCATTGCTATGTTGCGTCCCGATAATCCCCGCTGTTAGGAAAATCTCTATTTGATATTCATGTTGTGAATGATCTTAGCTGCCGTTTTTCATTCTTACTATTGTTTACTTCTTGACAGTAGTTTAACGCCCCACTTCGTTAATCCGATTGGCAAATTCACGTCGTTAACTAATGGACGCCCAGCTTACATGTCAGTTTCAGCATGGCCATTTCCACGAACATATTCTATTGGTTTTTATTTCCATAAAGTTATATTTGGTTATGTTAGGGACAAGTTTACTTGACATGCCTTTTTGTAGTGGTTCTTGTTTTCCAGGTTTGAATGTTTCGCTACCGTTGGTTTCGTAACCGTTGTTTAAACACGCCATTTTGTAACTCTGATTGGCCAGCACCCGCCGTTGTGAATGAATCTTCACTTTACGGTTTCAGTCCCATTATGTCATTTCCAAGAGCATATCTTATCCGTTCTTCATTTCACAGCTGCTCATTCGTTTGTTGCATTTAGCGTCTTCTCTCTATTTGTTTGGCTCGAATGTATTTTAGTAGTTTTCCTTCTAAACTATATAAATCCGTGTGATTTAATTCATACCACTGTTTTCCTGGCTGGTCTTTGGAGTTCTTCTTTCGGTCGTGAGGAGGAGGCTTCGGGGGCTACACATTACTCGCTTCCTTCGACTTGCTAAATCGGTCGCAATAATTCTCGCTTCCGTTAGTGTATCACCAGTGTTGTCAAGAGCACAGCAACTGTGGGGTGAGCACATCATCAAAATGGGGCTAGTTAAAGATGGAATCAAATCTCCTCGTAGAACCTTCCGAGTAAAATGTGTGCGACTGGTACTCTAATAAAAGAGGATGAGAGCAAAGAGTTCAGACGGTGCTTGGCAGAGTCCGGTAAATTGATATGTCTCCAAATTTGCCCTAAGCATTATATGACTTCCGCTTCAGGCAGGGGTTATGGTTGACCGCTCGGTTGTATAGTTGCTATCTGAGATTGGAAATGCAACTGCAATTGATTTTTTACCATATCTGATTCAATCATCAGCTTGAATTGTTAGCAATTTTGTTTCGCCTCATGCTATCGAGAACATACAGTGTTGAAATGTCAGTCGCCAGGAACAACAAGCGTCTACGATCTCAGCACGAATGGTGGTGAAAATCTTATTGCTAATTGTCAGTCTCGGTGAAAAATACGGTGACTGCGCGACCTTGTTTCAGAATCGACGGTGAGTCTATACCTAACTTGTGTAAACTGTGAAGGCGGCAGATTTACGCATTGATAAGGGTTCATGGGACTTATGTAGGCATCGCTCCTGTTCTTGTGTTCTGCATCGTAATAACATCCGGTCACTCGGTGCGTGCTTCAGAGGTGGTTATAGTTTGGCCCATTGTATGAATTCGCGGACTCCTAGGACGACAAGAGTAACGGTGTTGTGTCAGTGTGCAAGATTCTCAGTCAATACCCTCGCTAGGTTTGTGTCTGGACGCGCTGTTCAAGAGCACCTCCAATCGATATCGAGCTTTTCAAGTTGTTGGTAGTCGCATTGGCATAACGGGCAACAAACTGCCGACACCCAACATCTCGTCCAGCTGAGTCGGTGATGGTATTCTTTGAATCGCTTCTAACTTGCGAACGTGTATTGAGAGACCAGTCTATTGTGCTACTGAGTCGTTTGCAAACGACGTTCTCCATGGTGTATTGGATGCATAGCGAATTGAGTACTGAATCAGTGTGCGTTCAATTTGATGGTAATGATTTGAGCTATTTTCTTGATAACAAGACTAATGCTTTGGAATCGAGTAAGCGGAAAGTGAATTCTTTTAATTATGGCTCAGTTGCAATGCTTTGGGTTTTTCCGTACAAAGTGAAGAAAATGAAGACTCCAACTTTAGAAATAATCTGACGGGAAATACTCCTGTTGGGGGAGAAGCTGGTAACTTCGAGTGATTGAGCAAGAATCCTCCAAACTTTGACCGTCCATGTTTCGAGTCAACAATGTAGGAGAGTGGATTCGACGAAAGTTTCAGAGTGCCGGACAATCCAGTGGTCCTTCGGGACTGTTCTTCGCTCAGTCGTGGATGCCAACTGTTGCTCAACCCACGCTGACCGTTTGACTATCGAATTTCTCTCTTTAATTATTTGACCGAGTTTTCACTGTTCCAACTTGCGCTATATGTAAGGATAAGACCGTGCTCTATATGAGAAAGTGTGAGGTATGTGTATGTTTTCGCTGTTAATTCTGGTTTTCCTACTATTGGTTATCGATTACCTAAGCTATTTCCACAGATCTATGATGCGCAATTAGTAGACTTGGCCAGGAAAAAGCCAGTCATCCCTTCGAACAAGAGTCTCAGGTGCGTTTCGCATTCCTCTGCCGAGGAACTGGCCATCAAGATATCATTGATGTGCAGGTGGACAAAAGTGAGTCCACATACGGCTGTGTCAATGAGCTGCTGACATGTCTGCGCAGCATTTTGCAGTCGGAATGACATCCGCAGGAACCCGAGGAATCCATAAATCGTAGTGACAGCTGTCTTAGGAATATCCTCATCGGCGATCGGGGTCTGATGACGAGCGAGCACCAGCTGATGTTCGAGAAGACGCGATATCCAAGAATGCCAGTTGTTGAATCATAGATGTGTGGGATTAGATATCGGTCAGGAACGGTTTTGTTGTATCGCGCGCGATACTCTCCACGGTCATCTGTCTCCTTAATTTTTTCGATACCACTTGGCGGGTCCCAGGCCAATGGTTCTTTGACAAATGGACGATTCCAAGTTTCAGCATGTGCCCTATTTTCACCCGAGCAACCTTGAGCATATCCAGGGTCAGTCTGGGAGTTTTCGCGAAGACGAACGGGCCGTTGGTAATTATCTGATGCAGTGTGGCTCCATTTCTATTTGAGAAAAGCTGGGGATTGTAAAGCCGCTGGGGGACTTCCAAGCAGCGATTAGCCGCCAGATAACTTTGCACTTACCTACACCTGAGTGATTTGATAACTGCCCGCGGTGTTGTACCGCCCGGTTTCCTGTATGACTCGTTCATGGACAAATATTTCTAGTTTAGACGTTCCACTTCAGTTAGTGCGTAACTGCTGTGCGTGCTGGCACCAGGATAACTCCGGAACCGACACACTTCTCCAAACGGGCAAACGGAATTCCACTGAAACTCGCAGCTGCTTGCTAACGTTGCCATGGTCTCTACTATGTTATCGATAGTTGACACTAGTAGCGAAGACCCCGGTTTTGAGAATGCGATCTTCAACGACTTGTAGTTGAAGAAGGTGCGTTGTCAGCGGAGTGTTAATAAATCTTCTAGCGTTCACATCAGCGATCTCATTTGGAATAGACAATACAGACCTGGCAGCCCTGGCACAAGCAACACCTTGTAGCACTGGAGACTCCACAGCGAAGAGTCACGAAGCACGTCCAAGAGTTGTTCCATCTTCCTTATCAACTTAGGCTGAGGGCCCTAAAATTATTCAACGGCCGGCATCGGCGCCTACGGGGTGACCTTCTTATGGCCTACCAGATTCTGAGGAATCCGAACCACATCTGCCGGCACCTACTATAATTAAGCAACAGCACGAATTTGAGGGGTCACCAGTTCTAGTTAGCCACGCAATACAGTCAACTAAATATTTGACAGAGCCCGTGCTCTCTTCCTGTGTGTCAGCCATAGAACACCCTCCCAAATTACGTTATTTTCCCCTCCAATTTACTCATGTTTACAAAACGCCTTGATATTGCCCTAACCCATATTCATTAGGAGATATAGCCGGGGCGGCTTGACAGATGATGCAATGTGACGAAAGTCGAACAATCAGAATCGACCTACACAACTTGGGTTGAATCTTTTCTGCATGCCTCTGTGTGAACACTGGTTGGTCCACCAAAACGATTTACATTTCATTCTTTTGTTTTCTATTCCCCATGTTTTGGTTCTCATTCTGTCCATCCTACGGGACAATCTAAGCATCTGCTGTTTTGCCCCTAACATCTCATCGCACCATTGTTGTTCCATCAATCACGCTTTAATTGAAGGAGCATGGATGCAAACCCTCAAAATAGTTTAGAGCATTACGCAGGTGTAAAAGCCATCAGCCCACTTTGGAGCCAAACTTCATCCCGCTGATGTCAACCTCCATGCCACGTTGTTCTGTAACTACGTTGAACATCGCACCAGTGATGAACAATGAACAATGATGGGTAAAAAAGCAGGCGCTTGACATGTCCCATAGGGTGTTTAGCGTGACAAAAAAGATAGCGAAGGGATCATGGAGTCGTCAGTTCGGGCGCTTTCAGATGTAACTGCACAGTCGTAAAAAGGGAGTTTGAAATGAGAATGTACGCACACAAAGCAACAGGGGAGTGGTTATTGTTCACATCATAGGCGAGAAAAATAAAAAGATAGCAAGGACAACGCTTAGTCGTGTGCCACTAGCTTGTGTCGACAGGATATAGAAATCCAGTTTCTATAGTAGTAGCGTTTATCAAACTTCGTGCAAGCCGTTTGGAGTGACTCATTCTCGAGTAGGGTTATGGCACTATCCCCTGTCTGTTGTGCATTAGTGCCAGCATCGGGTGGTCATGAGCTATAGCACGTAGTGTAAATGTGACAGGGTATCGTCAAGGCGTTTTTTGAAAAGGGATAGGGTGTGTGCATTAATTACACGTTCCGGGAGGGCGTTCCAAGGCTGTGCCACTCGAAGGGAGAAATAGTTTCGCCGACATTCCAGGCGGCTGTACTGCGTGACTAACTTAAACTGGTGACCTCTTAGCGAGGTGTTTTGATTGAGTATTAGAAGGGAATGGCATGGGTGGTTGGGGTTCCTCAGGATCTCATACACCATTATGAGATCGCCCCTTAGACGCCGATAACGTCCACTGTATATTTTGAATCCGTGAATCCATCTATCGCTGAAATAGTTTACATGCAACTGGCCGCGTAGGAATGTAAGGTTGATGCACTATACCATTGAAGGTCAGATTCTCTTGAGCAGAATATTTTTGTTACTTTAGTAGATTTTTGTTTTTGTTGTTGAATCACATCAGAAACATGGAGACCAATGGTAATGCACTGCAAATTGTCGTCACATAATCTGGTTTGTGTAAGTGAGATTGACCCGCGAAACAAATGTCCTACAGCGATTGGGACCATGTGAACCCGAGACACGACGTGCGTATATGCGTATTTTCACCCCCAGAATATAAAGCCAACTTATATATATACTCACGTTATAGACCGTTTGCACTGCCAATCCAACACCAAATGTTGTATGCACGCTGTGCTTTTCTGGTCTGACTTCACTTGCACAGGGGACGTTGTGCGGTTACTGCTAGGATCCAAATGCCAACTACAGCGTTGCTATCACGCGTCTGCATACACGCGTTCCGCGTGCGCAATAGTGGGACAAATGTCATCTACCACCGTTACCATGTATCATAAATGATGATCCGAAAGCCATGCTTTTGTGGATTCATTGCGATTCGGCTCGCATGGATCCACGAATACAAGTTGTGGACAACCGATTTGTATCTACCATATCTATCTAACTTGATTTAGATGCAATTACAGTTTAAGTTGAAGCAGTGGACAACTTTCTTTACCACATTT